CAGAGATTAAAGAATAAGACAAATATGGAAAACGTTAATATACGGGGAATTAGGGCAAAAGGTATATATAAAGGTATATGTACTACTCTGACAACTCTTCTGTAAGCCTGAAATTATGTCAAAATAAAAAAAACTAAAAAATCTTACACAATACAGAAAATCAGATACTTCATAAAAGAATCAAAGATGAAAAATTATTCAACCACTTAAAATAATGAAACACCATTTTTTTGCTACGTAATTGGCACTAAAAATGTAGGTGATAATACTCAGTGTCAGCGAGATTCTAGAGAACTTGGTACTTTCATATTTTGCTGTTAGAGTAATAACAGGTCTAAAAAAAAAGGTACAGATTCTAATGATTCTATGGCTGGGACTCTATACTAAGGAGATAAATACTAAGTACTGAAAACTCATGATACACCACAGCCTTATTTAAATAATGTAATCACTACAGCCTTAAAGCAAATTGTAAATTGGGAAAAACTTAAGTACGACACAGGGAGAGTGTAAGAAAACAGATATAATCACTCACAGGAATTATTCAGTTAACAAAGTATAAACAGTCTATAAAAACTAAGTAAACATGGAATAGCGCATACAACAGACATAATATGATAAAGTAAAATTGTATGAACAGAATAATTACAAACTATGTTTTTAAAAATATCTACACACAGGGACTTCCCTGGTGGTCCAGTGGTTAAGACTCCATGCTTCCATGCCACAACATTGTTATAGTATCTGTAGGGTGGTGATATTGCTTAATGAGGTTGTTTTCCTTTTCTTTACCTTTCAAACTGTCAGTAACTTCACTATTTTAATACTGAGGAATATGAAACTAATAACAGAAAATAAGCTTAGCTACTATTTTAACTTAATCCTTTGTGTTTACAAAATGCATCTGGAAATATTTCAGAGGGAAAATAAGGGGGAAAAAGTCATGATAAACTAATTTATACAAATACTTTTATCTTATCTTTAAACATGTATCACAGTAAACATGTGAGGGAGGAAGCTGCTCAAGTCCAGTAGGGAAAAGGTTACAAAAGATACATTAAAAATATTCAGACTGAAAGCATGAGCATCCTTACATCCTTTCTCAAAGAACAAGCACATTCTATACAAATGATTGTGACTAAGAATTTTAAAGTTCAAGAGCCTGTCACAGTAACGAGGTAAAATATGGACAAGAGGAGTCTTGCAAGCGTCTCTCTCGTCCAATACTCACTGAAGTCTCATTCGTTTCTCAGGGGGGCCTTTAGTGCCCACAGTCTGTTGAACGTTCTTTGTGGTCTCCTTCTCCTCAGATTTTACAGTTTCTGTTATAGGTTCTGCCTCTTTCTTTGTCTGATCCACTAGACATCAAAAGCAGATATTTTTTGGAGGGGGAGGAGGGTGGAGGGATAAGACCAATTTAGACAACAGTTAATGTGAATGGTTCAGACTCTCAAATTAATTTAGAACTACTTATCTCAAGTTCTAAATTTAGCTGTTTCATCAGGCAGATGTATAAGAACCAATTTACAAACCAAAAACCTGATAATACAAGCAAATTATGATACTAGACAAAAACACATGACATTTAAATAAGACATTATGCATGAAAAAGATACGTAATTATTCTATGCCAGGTCAATGGATAGTCCAATACGTATTCTCAATGATGAAACAGAAGGCCTTTTTTCAAACTTTTGACAACCTAGAATCACCTCAGCTTCTCCACACACCCTCAATACCTGTTCATCCCACTCCAATGCATCTTTCAAATACTAATATCACTACCACAAAAGCACCACCTTTTGGCAATCAGCAGATCAAAGGTTAGGAGTAACAAACTGGCATTAGAGTCTAAAAGGACAAAATGATCGTAATTCACCTCACATGTTATGACTGTTACTGAGTTAAACAGGCTGTTTGGTCTTATTTCAAGTTTGATAAGAATTATCAGATGAACCATACCTGGGACAGGCTTTTCTCCAGACTTTTGCTGTGATTAAAAAAAAAAAAAAAAAAAGTGGGGAAGAGGGGTGGAGGAAGAGGAAGAAGAAAACAGGGCAGGTTAGCAAAGCTTTCTGCTTCTTGATGTCATAATTTTCATTAAAATTACACCTGCATGCAAATTATATTATAAATGACTTCATGAAGAGAAACTACTATCCATGTACCATAAAAAAGTAAATTTATCATTTTCTACTTCTTATTCCTGTTCCAGAAAAGACACAAATCTAAAACTAGAACAAACATAAAAAAACCCTTGAACATCAACAAAGCCCTTTGCCTCTGCACCGAGGCTATGATGCTTTATAAAAAGTAGCTAAGGAGAATCCAGTGAGAGGGAATAATGGAGCCTTTCAAGACTCCAGAGGTTTATTTGCACAGGGCATATGAGCTATAAGTAAGTAGAATGAAATTTGGATGTCTGACTTTTAAAGTTGGCAGGTATGGAACATAAAGAAAAAGAGGTATTTTTCTATGAATATAAGGCTTCTGTTGAGTGTACTATTAGAAATCAAACTGCAGGAAAAAAAATGATGGGGGCACTAGGAGTCAGGAACAAGGTCAGATCCTTCATTCTGCACAGCAATTCTTTTACTTCAGTGGGCCCTGTCATCTCCCTGTTCTCGCTACCCAAGTTAAATGCTTTAAAACACTTTCCTCCTCCTCTCCCTTCTTCTTCCTCCTCAAGGCTCACAACCTACCCCTCACCCTCAGCCAATAAGGGTGTCAATGCCCCAAGTTCTCTCCCATCGATCTACCTCCAAACTTATTATACCTTTATATACAGACAGATATACATAAAAAATACCTCTCTATACTTCCCTGTCATCTCAGAATAAAAGTGTTCTCTTTATTTTTATGAAGTTTAATGCCTCCATTTGTTTTCTGAATTTCTTTCTGAATTTACATGCCCTCCTTAAGCTTCTTATCTATTCCTTTGACTAGAGACTACACAATTTTCTGATGTCACATGATCCAGATTCATGCTACAAACTGCCTACTAGCCCACTCCAACTACAAGTTCTGGGAACCATTACACTTAATAAGACCGAAACTGAGCTTCCCATTATTACCCATTGTACAGAAAAGGTTAATATAGAAGGCCTGAGCTACTATCCTTTGAAGGGCCAGGCTGCAAGGTTGGCCTTTGGCCGGTATCTGGAAATTTGGATTTCAGGAGGGTTCCCACCATTTTGTAACTGATAATGGCAGTTCATTATGCCTAGACTGTTTGTATAAAAAATGTTGTTTTTGCTGAATACCTGCCTTCCTTCAAAGAATGTGGAATTTTAGTATGTGCTAGATAGAAAGTACCTACCTGAAAAACCTCCCCCAAAAACGTGGGCACCAAGTCTCTAATGGACTTCCTTAGGCAGAAATATCACTTACATGTTGCTGCATTTTCACTGTTGAGGCAAAAGTGTACTCTGTATGACTCTTCATGGGAAGAAGAGAGTATAAGGAAGTCTGCAGATGGATTCCTCCAGAATCCACTAATGCCTTTTCTCCTTATATGTGGCTGTATAGCCCTACTATGTCACTGTAATAAATCCTGTGAGTCCTTCAAGCAAATCTCCAAACATGGGGGTGGTCATGGGAATCCCCAACACAACAACATTATTACCTGTTTTATGAACATATTAGGACTTAAACATGTCTAAAGTAATTTGAGGGAACAAATAATTTTTCTTTACTTTAAAACAGGAGAGGAAATAGATGGTGTAACGTTGAGGAATGAGAAATTGAGAGGGGATATTCTTATACTGCTAGCACTGAACCACTTGAACTATACTGGACACTGGACCATATCCAGACATTGAAATAATGTCATTACCTACCTAGTGCATACTGTCTAATCTTTTCTAGTGAGTATTGTCACACAAACTAGTAGGATGTGGTTTAAGATGGGAAAATAGAACGGAGGTAGCCTTTCTGACAAAATTTATTAGGTAACTTTGGAATAAACCTAACTGAAGCAACATCCTATGGTGTCCTAGCAGCTTCTGAAAACAGCACTGAAAAGACATTGATAATAAAAGGCACTGAAGGCCTGAACTCCTATCACATCAGTTTTGGTGTAACTTTCAGTAGTAACAAAAGTTAAAATATGGAAAAAGGAGCTTCAAGGAAAAATGCAGGACTTCTCCAATATTCTCCTGAGCACCCCCATAAAGGGGCAACATTCCTCGGATTCAGAAGTCCTAAGCTACAAATGGTTCTGGGAGACAAAATGGGTAAATAGGAGCTCACAGAAGGCTTCAAGGAGACCAAGAATCTATTTTCTTCTCCAGATCTGAGGAGAAATGCTGTGGGTTGGAGAAACAAAGAGATTATTAAAAGTTCTAGAGAAAGCCTTCCTTCTCCTAGTTCTGCTACATAGAGTTGACATACTCGCTCTCTTTGTGAGTTGGCTTTTGGCCCCTGGATGGTTAAAAGAAGGTGAGGTTCTGGAAAATGACAACTTAAGGGTGACTATGGCTAAACCTTTACAAGAAAAATATAAAAACTCACGGAAATGATATGTAGTCTGCAACCTGCTTAAAATAATTGGGAGGAAATAGGGGAAGAAGAGAGAAAAGAAGATTGGCCATGCCTGATAACTGCTGAAGCAGGATAATATCAATAGGTACATGGGGGTTTCATTTTTTATTATTCCCTCTATTTTTATGTGCATTTCTAAATTTCCATAACTTTCTACAAAGTGAAGTTTTTTTGTTTTAAGATTCAAGAGTCTTTGAGCTTTCTACATTGTCCAGCCTAGCTCACCAGGATAGAACAGTACATGGAATTCAAGTCAGGACCCCTAGCCAGAGAAAAAGGAACTGTCATTCAGCTGGAGTACCACAGAACCCAAACACAGTAGTAAGCTATTGAATGTTCTGGAGGTTGGTTAATGAAAACAGAACCCCTAACAACTATATTTACCTCAAATCTGTTTCTTTTCCTATATTCTGAATTTGGGTTCAACACCAAGTTGATTCTAATCCTAGGCCTGAAACCTCAGAATCATCCATAATGCCAATCTCTCCATATCCAACCACCAAATTTAGGCAATGCTAAATCTGAAATATATCTTGAATCTGTTTCCTCTCTATCTAGGGCCACAGAATTAATTCAGGCTTTCCATAATCTAACTTGCTTGACTCCAAACATCACATTTTTTTAACATCTTTATTGGAGTATAATTGCTTTACAATGGTGTGTTAGTTTCTGCTTTATAACAAAATGAATCAGTTATACATATACATATATCCCCATATCTCTTCCCTCTTGCCTCTCTCTCCCTCCCCCCCACCCTCCCTATCCCGCCCCTCTAGGTGGTCACAAAGCACCAAGCTGATCTCCCTGTGGTATGCAGCTGCTTCCCACTAGCTATCTATTTTACATTTGGTAGCGTATGTATGTCCATGCCACTCTCTCACTTTGTGCCAGCTTACCCTTCCCCCTCCCCGTATCCTCAAGTCCATTCTCTAGTAGGTCTGCGTCTTTATTCCCATCTTGCCCCTAGGTTCTTCATGACCATTTTTTTGTTTTGTTTTTTAGATTCCATATATATGTGTTAGCATACGGTATTTGTTTTTCTCTTTCTGACTTACTTCACTCTGTATGACAGACTCTAGGTCCATCCACCTCACTACAAATAACTGTTTCGTTTCTTTTTATGGCTGAGTAATATTCCACTGTATATATGTGCCACATATTCTTTATCTGTTCATCTGTCAATGGACACTTAGGTTGCTTCCAAGTCCTGGCTATTGTAAATAGAACTGCAATGAATATTGTGGTACATGACACATTTTCCTATGCATCTTCTATACCATTAATGGTTATCTTCCTAAAACAAACAAATAACTACATTATTTCGTTGCAACTGTTCTTAAACATTTAATGGGTCCCTACTACCATCATCAATAATTCACAGCTAGTCAGTGCTGAGGGTCAAGAAGATGAGGTAGAGGATACCTAAGTTTACTTCAAGAGAGGGTGTATTTGAAAAAGAATGTACAAAAATTACCACTGCTTTCATTTGTCTTTAGTGATGATAGCTATTGTTTTAATATTTCAAATAACATTTAATGTACCTGGAAACGTATGTTTACAGGAGTGGTATCAGGTTATGGATTTAAAATAGTGAATAAACACTGGACCATAGAACTAACCACAAACTCCTTTGTGGAGCATATACAATTCTCAACATGACCTTAACAGAAATTTTAAGTCTCATATTTCAGTACTCCTCCCTTCACAAACACCTAAGAGTAATAAAACTCCAGAGTATTTTCTGGTTCCTTTCTTTTTTTTTTTTTTACAGGTACACTGAGGTATAACTGATACATGAAAAATACCTGCACATATTTGATATACACAATTTGATGAGTTTGGACATATACATACACCTGTGATACCATCACCACAATCAAGGTAATAAACATATCCATCACCTCCAAAAGATTTCTTCTGCTCCTTTAGTTTGGGGTTTGTGTGTGTGTGTGTGTGTGTTAAGAACACTCAATATGAGATCCCCCCTCTTACCAAGTTTTTAAGTGCACAACACCATATTGTTAACTGTAAGCAGTATGTTGTACAGCAGATCTCTACAACTTATTCATCTTATATAACTGTAACTTTACAGCCTTTTTAGAACCCCCTATTTTCCCCTTCTTCCATCCTCTGGCAACCACTATAATATTTTCTGTATCTGTAAGTCTGACTATTTTAGATACCTCATGTAAGTGAAATCATATAGTATTCATCCTTCTGTGACTGACTTATCTTAATTAGCACAATATCTTCTAGGTTCTTCCACAACACCACAAATGGTACAATTTCCTTTTTTTTAAGGCTGAATAATATTAAACTATATGTATATCCCATAGTTTCTTTACCCATTCATCTGTTGATGGATATTAGGGTTATTTCCATACCTTGGCTATTGTGAATAATGTTAATATTCACAAAAATAATAAATGTGGGAATACAGATAGCTCAGGTTTCAAACTATATTACAAAGCTACAGTAATCAAAACAGTATGGTATTGGCATAAAAACAGACATAGATCAATGGAACAAAATAGAGAGTCCAGAAATAAACCCATGCATATATGGTCAATTAATTTACACCACACACAAAAATTAACTAAAAATGGATTTAAGACTGGAATGTAAGATCTGAAACCATAAAACTCCCAGAAGAAAACATAGGCAGTAAGCTCCTTGACATCAGTCTTGGTGATGAGTTTTTGGGTTTGACATGAAAAGCAAATGCACCAAAAGCAAAAATAAACAAGTGAGACTACATCAAACCAAAAAGCTTCTGCAAAGCAAAGTAAATCATCAACAAAATGAAAAGGCAACCTACAAAATGGAAGGAAATATTTGCAAATCGCATATCTGATAAGAAGTTAATATCCAAAATATATAAAGAACTCATACATCTCAACAGTGAAAAAACAATTCAATTAAAAAATGGGCAGAGGACCTGAATAGATATTTTTCCAAAGAAGATACACAGATGGCCAACAGGTACATGAAAAGGTGCTCAACATCACTAATCACCAGGGAAATGCATATCAAAACCACAATGAGATATCACTTCATAGTTGTTATAATGGTTACCATTGAAAAGACAAGAAGTAACAAGTGTTGGTGAGGATGTAAGAAAAAGGGAACACTTGTGTACTGTTGGTGGCAATACAAATTGGTGCAGCCAATATGGAAAACAGTACAGAGGTTCCCCCAAAAATTAAAAACAGAACTACCATACGATCCAGCAATCCCACTTTTGGGTATATATTTGAAGGGAATGAATACAGGATCTCGAATGGACACCTGCGTTCCCACATTCACTGCGGCATTATCCACAATAGCCAAGGTATGGAAACAACCTACATGTCTGTCAACAGAATGGGTAAAGAAGATGTGAGATATATATGTGTGTGAGAGAGAGACATATGTGACACACACACACATACACACACATACGCGCGCACACATATACAGGAATATTGTTTAGCCATGAGAAAGAAGGAAATCCTGCCATTTGTGAGAGCATGAACCTGGAGAGCATTATACTAAGTGGAGTCAGACAGGCAAATATGATATATCACATCACTTATATATGGAATCTAAAATGTTCAAACTCCTACAGAGAATATAGTGGTGCCTGCCAGTGGCTGAGAGGGTGGGGGAAATGGGGAGATGTTGGTGAAAGGTATAAGATGAAATAAGTTCTGGAAATCTAATACACAACATGGTGATTATAGTTAGTAGCACTGTATCATATACTTGAAAGTTGCTAAGAGAGTAAAACTTAAATGAACTCACCATAAAAAAGAACAGTAATTATGTGACATGACAGAGATGTTCGCTAATACTATGGCGGTAATCATTTTGCAGTATATAAGTGTATCAAATCAACAGGTTGTATACCTTAAACTTACACAATGTTACACCAATTATATCTCAATAAAGCTGATAACAAAAAGTTTATCCCTAGGTATGTTTTTGATGCTATCATAAGTGGGATTTTCTTGATATTCTTTACTGATAGTTGTTAGTATACAGAAGTGCAACTGATTTTTGTGTGTTGATTTTGTGTCCTGCAATTTCACTGAATTCATGTATTAGTTATAACAGTTTTTTAATGGAGTCTTTAGGGTTTTCTATGTATAAGATCATATCATCTGCAAACAGACAATTTTACTTCTTTTCCCATTTGGATCCCTTTTACTGCCTAATTTCTCTGGCTAGGTCTCCCAGCACTATGCTGAATAGAAGTGTGGAGGGTGGATATCCTTGTCTTGTTCCTGATCTTAGAGAAAAAGCTTTGTTCTTCACCACTGAATATGATAGCCGTGGGTTTGTTATATGTGGCTTTTATGATGTTGAGGTACATTCCTTTTAAACCTAGTTTGTTGTTTTTACCATAAAAAGATGTTGCATTTTCCCAAATGCTTTTTCTGCATCTATTGAGATGATCATGTGATTTTTATCCTGCATCCTGATAATGTAGTGTAATACTGATTGATTTTAGTATGTTGAACCATCTCTGCACCCCAGGGATAAATCCCACTTGATCACGATATATGATCCTCTTAATGGGCTATTGCATTTGATTTGCTAGTATTTCATTGAGAATTTTTGCATCTATTTTTATTGGACTGTAGTTTTCTTGTCTTGTAGTGTCTTTTGGTCTTTGGTATCAGAGTAATGCTGGCCTCATAAAATGAATTTGGAAGTGTTCCCTCCTCCTTAATTTTTTGGAAGAGTTTAAGAAGGATTGGTGTCAATTCTCTTTAAATGTTTGGTAGAATTCACCCATGAAGTCATCTGTTCCTAGACATTTCTTTGGGAGGTTTGTGATAACTGATTCAGTCTCGTTATTCATTATTGGTCTGTTCAGATTTTCTATTTCTTCATGACTCAGTCTTGGTAGGTCATATGTTCTAGGAATTTCTTATAGGTTACCCAATTTCTTGGCATATAAACTGTTTATAGTAGTCCCTTATGATCATTTTACTTCTGTGGCATCAGTAGTAACATCTCTTCCATTTCTAATTTTATTTAGTTGAGCCTCCTCTCTTTGTTAGTCTAGCTAAAAGTTGGTCAATTTCATTTATCTTTTCAAAACACCAACCCTTAGTTTCCTTGCTTTTTTGTTGTTGTTGTTTTTATTGAAGTATAGTTGATTTAAAATGTTGTGTTAGTTTCTGGTGTATCACTGATTCTTTTCTATTGTTTTTCTAGTCTCTATTTCATAATTTTTAATCTTTGTAATTTCTTTCCTTCTGCTAACTTATACGTGGAAATTAAACAAAACCCTCCTGAACGACCAGTAGGCCAAAGAAGGAATCAAAAGGGAAATCAGAAATTATCTGGAGAGAAATTAAAACGAAAATACATCATACCAAAACTTATGGGATGCAGGAAAAGAAGTACTAAGAGGGAAGTTTATAGCAATAAATCTTACATTAAAAAGAAGGAAAGATCACAAACAATCTAACTTTACACCTCAAGAAACTAGACAAAGAACAAACTGAGGGATTTTCTTGGTTTCTGAATATGTGTTCATTAATAATCTTTCATGTTTTTGGTTTTGCATTTTCTGTTCCCATTTTCTAGATCAGCACTGCCCAAAATATAATGTGAGCCACAAATACAAGCTATATATGTAATTTAAAATTTTCCAGTAGTCACATTTTCAGAAAGAAACAGATGAATTTTATTATTTTTACCAAATGTATCTAAAATAGTATCACTGACATATAATCAATATTTTAAACTATTAATGAAATGTTTTATAAATTTTTTTGTCCTAAGTGCTTGAACCCAGTATGTATTTCACACATAACTCAATTTGGACTAGCTGTGTTTCAAATGCACAATAGTCACATGTGCCTAGGGGCTACTGTACTGTGCAGGTCTAGGTGTTCTGCCACGAATGGCCAACCACACCTAAACTCGTACACTCTGTAGTCACTACTCATCATCTTACACACAGCTATAATTCATTTATTTATTTATTCAACAGACATTGTTTCATCTTCAGGCACAATTCATCAGATTTCTTTAAACTGGCTTTTTGGTCCTGAGTTCCAACTGTGGCCTCTGCTCCCTTCACTACCACGTCACCATTCCAACAGTACACCTCATCCAGTAGAGTCAGGGAAGGTGGAAGGGAAGGCCTATTCTAAAGTCACCTCAGGGTGTGAAAAATCTCAGTCTAAAACAACCCTTGAAAATCTCTTAAATAGGCCCTCCACAGGAAAAACATGACCTTGTGTGTGCACAGCGTTGTAAAGATAAGTAAGAGCTGAGGCAAACCATAAGAATAACATGTTCACATATTCCATCTCACACTTACTTCTCTGCAAAAGCTCATTTAGTACCACGGTACGTGGACCTGCTATTGCTGTTGGAATGCCCAAGACAACATAATGGAACTCATATAACTCCAATATATGTTATGTCTATTTATTATTACTCCTGCCTCCTCCATTTATCATGCCAAACCCTCCACATCAAATGTACTATTCTTTTTATTACAAAGTTTTTATTATTCTATCATTTAAGGACTTAAATACCCTCTACATCAGGCTGGAAGGCAGCACGTACAGTAAAAACAGCATGAGTTTCAAATTCTAGTTTTGTTACCGTCTATGACACTTTCAGCAACCTTCTGAATGAGAATATTATTATATTCAGTCCTCATAGTTTACGAAGATTCAATAAGGAATTAAACTTAAGCGCACAGAACAGTACTAATTCCATTCCCTTTACCACTTCCTCCATTAAGTCCTTGAAAAACCTTCCTTTGATTCAGAGATCATTTTTTTAACTAACAAGGAAAATCAGTATTTTTAGGTCACATCTGAAACAGTCCTCAATTAAAAATAAATATGCCAGGAAAAAGTGTTGAATCAAAATTAACCACATGCACTCTCATTACCTGCACAAATCTGGGTGGAAATTTTTGTCTAAGGTCTAGGAGTAAAGCATCCACACGCTGTCTCTGGAAAATAGAGCTTGGTTCTTCTTTCCTTTTGACTTTAGGTTTGACTTTATCTATTAAAATATAAGGTCCAAATCAAAACATTGTCTAACTACTTTGGTGCCTTATATTTTACAAATCTTTGTCTGCCATGAATATATTCAAATTTCATTATTTTTAATGGCTGCTATTCCAAAGATAATCCCCCCAAATACGTTAAACATAGCATATACAGAGTAGCATTCAAACTCTCCCTCTGAAATGAGGTTAAAATTCTAACATTTAAAAAGCTGATATATCTTTTAAAGACATTTCAGTTTTAGCATGTAAACATGGATAAACATCGTTCTTATGTTTCCATAATTACTTAATTATAGAAAACTTTAAGGCTAAATTTTCCATAATTACCTAAGTCACATCCAGATTATTGGTTTGAAATTATCTTGTGTATATTTTAAGTGTATTAAACGGACTTTTCCCACAAAATCTAATAGGTACAAATGGAAAAGGCAACTTTCATAAACTCAAGTAACCATACTCAATTATGAAGACTACTGAGAAAAACAGGACAAACCAAACAACAGAAGATCATAAAGACAAGAGAGAAAAGAACTTGCAAGAAAAATTATGAAGCTAATCACGTGTGGGATTTTCCCTGCGAGGGGAGTGTGCTGGTGGACTGTCTATAAAGAAAGGGTTCCAGTTAAGTTTTATCCAAACATTTCATTAGGGTAGGGGCAAAGAGCTCTTGGGAGAAGTTTATTCAACTGATGCAAACTTTCCTAAGTCAAATGTTGTCGCCAGGACCTACTATTACGAATAAATATAACTGTATCTCAGAGACCATTCATTCCACGGATCTGAATTTTATTTAAAGGTTACCTTTTCCATAGTAATTCATTCTAAGTTTCTATTTCTCTAGAAAGAAATGCAGAATATAGGTATACTGCTATAGATACATTTCTAGAAGTACTTTTATTAGTAAAATATGGTACAGAACAAGTAGCAGATTAGCAGCTATGGCAACTAGAGGACCTGGCATCACGACAGGCGATAACATGGGAAGATCAGAAAACAGACTGTTCATCTGGAGATAGGGCTTTAAGAGCATCTCCCCTATTTCAAAAACTTGGAAGACTTGGGTTCCAGATTTCAAGATGACTCAACAGTTTGGTAAGCAGGAAATATCATCATTACTCATTCCTCATCACTGATTTCCCCTACATGCCCTAAATATTTTAAAACCTTGCATCAACTTATCAAAGATTATCGTGTACCAAAGAGATTAAAATTTGTACCTGTTCCTATGGGAATGCTATTACTACCACATCTAGTTACATGAATCATAGCTCTGACAATGTCATCATCCTATGAAACCTTCCCATGGAGAAGTAAAACACAGCTAGAAATCATCAATAGCCATTTTCCAAAAGAAAGCAGCTTCATTCTCCGAATAACAAAAAGTGTTTTAGGAGGGTCTCGGTGTCCCACCTACCTTGCTCTTCATGATCTTTGAAGTGCCACCAATACCCTTTGGAAGGATGATATCGACAGTATGACATAGCTTCATCAAAAGCCGACTGAATGCCATGTACCGCAGTAAGCTTATAAAAAGAAAACAAATTCTGAATTTCTCATCAATCATCCAAAATTTACAAAGTGAACACAAAATATTACATATGCAAAGACAGTAATTCTTCTGCTTTTCAGAATCTGAATCACTATGTATCTAGGGGTGGTATATACTTTGAACATGGAGTTGGCCCACAGGAACCAATGCTTAAGATATTCTAATAGTCAACACTTTATACCAACTTACACAAGGGAGAGGAGTTCCTGTTTAATTCTCGGTAGCAAGGTAGTTCAGTTAGAAGTTTTCTTTAATGTTTAAAGTATGTAAAGACACTCACCACTCTAGAGTTTATAACTGATCCCAAGTCTGGTGCCTGATAGATCACTCCAGCAATAATATAGTAATCAGCCAGTGGGATAACTAAAGCAGTGAGGAAAAAAAAAGTTTATCAATACAGCTATGCACACAAACTGCTAAATATATTTCCATAAAAAGAACAACTAAAGTTTGACATTTTCCCATACTAAAGCTTAAGGTAGGGTTTGGCAATTCCTGTTTTTGTAAATAAAGTTATATAGGAAAATAACCACACTCATTCATTTGCGTTATTATCTAAGGCTGCTATGGCACTAGTTGAATAGTTGTCTCAGAGACCATGAGGCCCCAAAGCCTAAAATATTTAGTCTCTGGACCTTCACAGAAAAAGTTTGCTAAAAAAAAAGTTTGCCCTAGGAGCAGTGCTTCTTAAACTTTAATGTGCATTTGAATCACCTGAGTATCTTGTTATAATCAGATTCTTACTCAGTAGGGACAATGCATTTCTAACAAGTTCCTAAGTAATCTGATGCTGCTGTCAGTCAACCACACTTTGGGGAATAAGACCTTAGAGCAAGAGAGATTTAGGGCCCAGGATGAAGATACCAGACACACTGAACTTGCCTCTGTGCCCCAGTCCGAGGTCCTAAGAAATAAAACAGCGGCTAGTGAGGCTGGTGCCATCTTCTGTCACTTCTGTACATGGAACTCTTTCATCATGGAACTCTTGTCCCCAGCCTTGTCTTTGTTCTAAGTTTCTCTTTTTCTCTGGGCAGGGACTCTAGATCTTTGACTTTTTTTTTTTAATTTATTTATCTTTATTTATTTATTTTTGGCTGCGCTTGGTCTTTGTTGCAGTGCACGGGCTTCTCATTGCGGTGGCTTCTCTTGTTGCGGAGCACGGGCTCTAGGTGCTCGGGCTTCAGTAGTTGTGCCTCGTGGGCTCTAGAGCACAGGCTCAGTAGTTGTGGCACACGGGCTTAGCTGCTCTGCGGCATGTGGGATCTTCCCAGACCAGGGCTCGAACCCATGTCCACTGCACTGGCAGGCGGATTCTTAACCACTGCGCCACCAGGGAAGTCCTAGATCTTTGACTTTGAAAGTAAATTTGGATTCTTGACTCTGGAACCACAACTTCAGTAGCAAGTCATTCTCTGGAATCAATACTAGGGTGAAGGTTATTCTCAAAGGTCTTGATGAGAGTATCCAATTTAAGAGATGTAGCTGGTCATCTCTGGAATAGGTGACTAGCTTTTTGATTCAAAATCAAGTCTGAATTCTATACTTTTCAGTATGATTTCTAAAGCAAGTTTTTGTCTGGTAATTTTGATTGAATGTATCAATGAGGATTTTCCATTGATCTTTTATGAATTTGGTACAACTGCATCTACGAAGAATTAAACTGATTTCCTTCTGAGGGACCAGAATTTGACAGGCAGAGGATGTCTACATGATCAGCCCTCATTAAAAATTCTGGACTCAGAGTCTCAAATGGTCTTCCCTGAGCTCTGAGCAGACACAGTACACACTGCATTTCACTACTAGAGGGAAGGTGTACTTGGTGTGGCCCCTCACAGAAGGGAAAGCATAAGAAGCCTACACATGGATTCCTACAAATCCCTAAAACAGAACTCAATCCACAAAAATAAGAACATATAGCTCAGGAGTAAATAAATCATGGTATTTTAAGAAGAAAATAATGCCTAAAGTTTACATAGTTTACCTTGAGTAGGGGACTGCCGCTGTTGCTTTCGAATGATAAAAAGAATGGGCTCTTGAGCATGTAAAAGGATGTATTCCACTCCAACCATCTGACTGAAAACAGGACACAGACATTCAGAGATCTATGAATGCCCTAGAAACAATTCTGTAGAACATTCAAATTATCACATAAAAGTACAGCAACATTGTAAACAGGATAAAACTGCCTATGTTTGATATTAAAAATTGGCTGTTCAATAAAACTGGCTATTTTTCCCAGGTAGGTGGGGCACAGATAAAGTAAGATTTCATTTTTAAACAACAACAAAATTGCTCTACAAAAATTCATGATGAACTTAAATCAGAGTATTTTCAGTCATGAAAGTACAATGAACCTACATTTCAAAAAAGGCAACCAAAATACCAGGATGCTTCCTGACCAAGGAGATCTATAAATATATATAAAATATTAAAATATACATGAACACTATACCTGTCTTAATATAGATCACTACTATATATTGTACCCAACCAGAAAACATCAAAAACCTTATCCTCACCCCCAACATATTTTTTCCTGACATACTATGTTTAAAAGCAACACCAAGGTATCTCAGTAAATGTAAATATTTACCTCAAAACAAAAGCTATTTAAAATACCAGAAATTTAATTTCTTAGAACCCCTGCTCCCCGTGTTTAGCTGACAGATGAAAAACTTCATTACACAGTTGTTTCAGAAACGTTTATAATAGTAATGAATTATTTAGCATCCCAAGTCTGAAGAATCTTGCTAAATTTGGCTAAAATTTTATTTGTCAAACAAAGAAAAATCTACTATAAACTCGACTATGGTTTAAGACATCAAATTAGATGTAGAGGAGACCACATATATAGTTACCTGGTTAAGGACAACAGTTGCATTGCTGAAATCAATGAGATTTACATCTAAACCTCATAGTTGCATTTTAACTGGACAGTAATATGTGAAGTTATAAAGAAAAGACTTCCTAGGTTACAAGTGACTACTAATAATTCCTTTGCGTGTCAAATCTGCACAAACCCAAACAAAACTCCCGTTCTTCCAACACTTCTACTCTGTACTTCATGATTCACAGCTTGAAAGAACTATTCATTACAAAACCTGCAGTTGGCAAAGATGCTACCTTCTTATAATAACTTACTTTAAGTGTTCTAACGTTAGCCTCTGCATTTTGACCACTTCATTATTACATGTCCTGTCATAAAAAGGATTACTTCTTTCTGAAAAGTAATCCAGGACACTTCCACTGTTCAAAATAGGGATCCAGGAACTGTCAACCCAAGAGATTCCCAGCAGATTATCTATAGAAAAGAAACAAAATGATAAAGGATGAGAAAAGAGAAAAAAATCCAATCCAACGAACATTTATTATGCATATAATGTAGGAGGCGCTATGCATATAAGGATGACGTGGATCCTAACCTACATACCCTCACAGTCCCGCAGAAGAGATAAGTATGCAAGAAAGCAATGACAACACAAGATCCATAATAGAGGTATGAATAAATGTGTTATGAGAGCACAGTGGAGCGAGCATAATACCTTACCTGAGGGAACAGGAATGGTTTTTCATGGGGTGAGGAGGAGGTGGATTTTAGCACTATATGTTAAAGAATAAATAGAGGCTCACCATGGAGAAAAGAGAGGCAAAGTAATTCCAAGCAGAGGTAATGCATATACAAATGCAGGGAAATATAAAAGTATATTATATGTTTAATTGGGAGATTCTGATTGACATATATACACTAATATGTATAAAATAGATAACTAATGAGCCTACTGTATAAAAAATAAATAAAATTCAAAGATTCAATAAATAAATAAAAGTATACTATATGTTTAAAGAATAACTCAATTAGGTGAAGAAGTTATAGGATGTGAAATCTAGAGAGGTCTTTCAAAATATTGGAAATCCTGAGTTTTTATAATGTTGGCAACTAATTCAAAAATTTTCAAACAATATGTACGCCAAAGAAACCACATCCATCGCCACTAATGGGAGATCTTCCAATTAGACAGAAATAAGTTAGGAATCTATTATTATGGATGAGATAATAATGATGTAAAAGGGGCAAATGAAAAGCAGAATGCCCTTAATTACAGCCATACAATTTCATATTTTAAAGAATTAAACTTAAAATTTTTCAAAATGGAAAAAGAAAACAAAGACATGATAAGTAGGGCTAGATAGCTTTAATTCATGAGCTTTTATTGGGTACTGGCTGCAATGTTTCAGACCACTGACAGTACTAAATCCCACTAGCTGTAAGTCATGAAACATCAAATTGCCTATAAAATTATTGGTTGAAGAAGGAAGAATGGAAAACTTCAACCTCCCCATGCCTTAGTTTTCTCATCTATAAAATAGGGATTATAATAGTAACTCCATGCTAGATTATATATGTAAAATGCTTAGTACATTGTAATAACCCAATAAATGTTCATTATGATGATGGTGGTAGTGCTGGTAGTCAATTTCTTTTAAGATTAATATGAGCAAACTTATTTCTGGCTTAACCAAAGGCTGTCCTAGTTTGTGCCTCTTTTTTTTTTTTTCTAGTTTATGCACTTCTAAAAAATATAGAAACGTCTTCCATTCTCAAAAAGGTATAGGTTTACTAGACATTCAAATGGTCAAGCTAGATTAAACTCATTTCAAATGTCACTAATCTCTGCAAAGCCTTTCTCTACTGTGCAAGGCAGAAATAATGGTTTCTTTCTCTATGTCCTCATAGCGGTTTTTATATAGTTTTATAATTGATTATTAATAACCCACAACTACAAATGTTTTCCCATTAAATGCTGAGTTTTTTAAGGAACTGGGGCTGTGGGTTACTCATCAGAACTAGCACAGGACCTGTTTGGTAAGAATTAGAAAATGTTTATTAATTCATGATAAGGGCTAAGGACAAGTTACTCCACTGGTCATAAATTTACACACACTCCAGTATCCAAGGATGTTCAGCTACAAACTAGTTAACTGGGGTTAAGAGGGTGGTGTGTGGCTGTGAAATAGGATATACTAGTTCTCCCACATAGAAGCTACCTGTGACCACAGCCCAATAAAGAGACTACACTACCAAAACAAGCAGACTCCAACTATTTCTTACCACCTCCACTGTTACCACCCGAGTCTGAGCCACCTCCAAATCCCCATGCATTACAAAAATGCCTTCCTAACCGGTCTCCCTAATTCTACCTTTGCCCTCCTACAGTGTTCTCAGCAGTCAAGGTGATCCTAAAAAAAAGTAAGTCAGGTTACGTTCATCCCTTCTGGTCAAAACCCTCCAGTGGTTCTCTATTTTACTCAAAGGACAAGCCAAAGGCCTTACCACGGCCTACAATTCCTGTATGAACAAGCCACCACACCAATTCTCTCTCTGACCTCATCTACTTCCCGCCTCCTCTCTCACTGTGCTTCAGCCATACTGGCCCCCTTGTTGTTCTTCTGACATGTTCCCACCTTAGAGCCTTTGCAATGGACCTAACAAATCTAAATAAAAATTAACAAGTTATGAAAGCTAAACAGCCTCGTGGACTAAATGTTTCTCTTTTTTATTCAGTAGCAAGGGACAGCATATTGACATGGCTCTAATACAGCTCTCTAACAATCAGCAAGTAATGAAATTAGGTACTTGATATTCTCACTTATAACGAAAGACAAACATATAGTAAACATTATCCAGAACTGCTGAAGATCACTGGACATTTTGACAATATATAAATAACAATATATTTGTAATATGTGTGCTAGACTCCAATTTGGTTAATATAGAAAAAGGAACCTCAGACGTCAGGAATAAGGTAGACTCCAGGCCAAGTGCCAAGAATGAACCAAACACTGTCGGCTCATGACCCCACCCCCTTCTCTGTCGTTCCTTCACCTGGACAGTACAGCCCCAATACTGCTGTAGAGATACATATGTAGGACAACACCACAGGGCTCAAAGCCCAGAGCTCCTTCCAACCCCTTCGTTTTGACTCATCTAAGAGACTCCTGAAGAACTGCGAAAATCTAGGCAATTTTTCGACAGATTGGCGCTTTGGGTCGTTCACAGAAAACATTCCAAAGGGCATGGGAGACATCACAAAGGAACCGGAATCTTGCCCCCAAGAGCTATAAATCCCTAAACCAGATCCCAAACAATCAGGAAACAAAGGGGACAGCACAGTTTACCTCGGATATCCACCGCCGCCATAGTCCCAAAAGCGTCCTCAGGCTCTTCTTCCGGCGCAGAGTAAACGTAACAAGTCTGAGACGAAAGAGCTCTGCTGCGGAGCAGAGAAATGTTAAGGAGGAACCAAAAGAGGGGAGGAGACTGCAAGACGAGGAAGACAAGGCAGGGAAAGGGAAGAAGCGGAGAGAATAGGAGGTGGATTGGGGCGGGGCTGGGGGGCGGGGCTGAGAGAGGGTGGGGCGGGCTGGGAGGTGCAGCCGAGCGGGGAAGAGGGGAGGGGCGGAGAGAAGGGGTGGGGCGGGGCTAGGAGGGGGAGCGGGGCAAGGAGGAGGGGGGAGGTATGGAGCCTTGAAGTAGAGTTGGGGGGGTAGAGGGGTGGGACGAGACAGAGAAGGGCGGGGCGGGGCTGGGAGGTGGGGCGCCGTGGGGAGGGAAGGGGTAAGAAGGGGAGGGAGAGGCTAGGAGCTGCTAGCAGGAAGGAGAGAGCAGCGCCAAAGGAAGGGGAAGTAGAGGCAGGGCATACTGCCGGGGTAAAAATTTGGAGACCTTGAGGAAAAACAGAGTGAGCAGAGCCCTGCCCAACGTCCACCACTGAGGGATTCGAAAATTCGACCTTGGGCTTCCCTGGTGGCGCAGTGGTTGAGAGTCCGCCTGCCGATGCAGAGGACGCGAGTTCGTGTCCTGGTCCGGGAAGATCCCACATGCCACGGATGCGGCTGTGCCGGTGAGCTATGGCCGCTGAGCCTGCGCGTCCGGAGCCTGTGCTCCGCAACGGGAGAGGCCACAACAGGGAGAGGCCCGTGTACCGGACAAAAAAAAAAAAAAAAAGAAAGAAAGAAAATTCGACCTTGATCTCCTGTGATCGTTTATAAGAACAAATTCTGATTGTGCAGAGTTGGGGGTGGTAACATCTTTCATTTTAAAAGCTCTTTCAGGTGTATCCAATGAACTGTTCAGTTTAGGAGCTACTGGCCATTCTGTTTTTCACCCTGCCTCAAGTGTGGGGATGGGCAGGACTAAGCAGGAAGAATTTGACAGTCATTAGCTTTTATGTGACTAAGCCCATTAAAAGTCTAAAGCCATTGAAGAAAATATTACATGCCTCTGAGACAAAATTTTCACAAGACAGGAAATGCTTCTGAAGCAAAATATTAACAAGATTAAAAGAAAGGGAATACCCCTGGGTCCCTGAGTAAAGACCTAATGTCTGCATTCCGGCTAATCTGGGCTAGATAGCAAGATGCCAAAGAGGGAATAATTCTGTGAAATGCAGAAGCCATAGGAAGCCTTAGAAAGATTTTCAAGCTCCATAAAAGCAAAATGATGAGGATATCTGCAAGCAAGACACAGATGCCAAGAAGAGAACCCGCAAATCTGAAGAAGGTATTTTTATGGTGATGAAGTGTTAGTGCCTGTATCTGTTCCAAAACTTAGGTACTGTGAAGGTTCCCCCAGAATTTAACCATGAAACAGAGGTAAGGGGGTGGGGGGCCATGAATTTATTGGAATTTTCTACCTCATAGACTGGGAATTCAAAAATTTTAACTCTTAAGTGGCATACAAATATATTGCTTTGTTACACTCCACTTTTTGAACTGGGATTTTATACTTGAGATGGTATGTGTACAGTATGTGTGTCCCAATAAAAGTATGCACATGCACAGAGCAGAGTTTTCAAAGGAGAAAGTCCTGATGGGGTCCTGGTGGAGAAGGCATTCCAAAACAGGGGTTATCATGTCCAATAAACAGAAGTGTGAAACATCAAGCTTTTTGTTTTGTCTTGTTGGTTCTGTTTTCTTGTATTTTTATTAGAAGAGGATTAGGAAGAAGTACAACAGAACGCAGGTCTGTAGGTAATAAAACATATGGTAAACGTGGTAGGCCAGACCTGGGAGCTCAGCCTTTATCTTATAGACAGTGGGAGAAATGTAATTGGGCTTCCGTTTTAGAAAGATTGTCCAAGGAGCATGAGTTGGAGGCATTTATAAGACTAAAAACAGGGAGTCCGTTTAGGAGACTCTTGCAAACTAAATGATGTCTACACTCATACAAAGGCAGCAGTAGCTGAGGGAAGAAAAAGGATGACAGATATTTAGGAGATAAAATCAAAAGGGAATTAGTGACTAGTAGATGAGCTTGAGGAAGGAAAGGCAGGAAATAAAAAATTATTCCCAGGATACTGCTTTATAAGACTAAGTGTTGTTAATCAAGTTAGGAATAACAAGTAACAAGTAAGTAGGTGAAAAGGGGAGTAATGATTTTTTTTTTTTGCGGTATGCGGGCCTCTCACTGTTGTGGCCTCTCCTGTTGTGGAGCAGAGGCTCTGGATGCGCAGGCCCAGCAGCCATGGCTCACGGGCCCAGCCGCTCTGCGGCATGTGGGATCTTCCCGGACTGGGGCACGAACCCGTGTCCACTGCATCGGCAGGCGGACTCTCAACCACTGCGCCACCAGGGAAGCCCAATAAGTTATTTTTTTATTCAAAGGAAATGAGAAGCTATTAAAGACTTTAAGGGGTAGAATGCCACAAAGGTATTAGTGCTAACTGGAAATTTACACTGGATGTCAAAAATATTTGCTGTTTATTGAGCCACTTACTATGGATCAGGCACTGTGCTAAGCACTTTGATGAATTATCTAGTTTTCCCCTAACAATTTTATGAGGCAGATGCTATTATTACTCCCATTTTGCAGATGGGGAGACTGAATGAGGCAGATGAATTAGCTGCTCACAAACTTATTATCTACACGAGTACATCATTAATCTACATTTTCCACTCCCCTTATATCTAGATGTAGCTACATAGGTAGTTCTCATCAATGGAATATGGATGGAAGTGATTAGTCTCATCCCCAGGCCAAGCTGCTTAAAAGCATTGGTGCCTTTTCCACTATCTCTCTCTGCTTCCACTTGGTAGATATCACAGAGACCTTCAAGTCATGGATTGAACATGGGGAGAGCCAGGATCTCTGAATGGCTGACCATGGTGCTGAACCTCCCTGCTGACCTACATCGGACCTTAATAAAAGCAAGAAATAAGGTTTTATTGTGTTAAACCACCCCCCAACACACACACACACAATTTGCTTTGTACTCTCTCTTCTATAAATTCAGTAATGGTGATGCATTCTACTCCCTTTTCTGTAGGATATGCTAAAAATTTGTACCTGCCTCCCCTATATACAATATGGCCCTTTGAGGCTTTGTGGTTTGGGGACTTACATCATTTGATATGCAAGTGTTAGAGTGCAAATGAAAGAGAAAAACAAAAAGCTCTTCAGTAAGAGGGTAGGAGTGATTTCCTGATTGGTTAAGAGAAATTAATAGCACATTAGAAACAATTACCTGCTCGCACCTTCCTCCATATGGCTACAATCCAGATTCCTCACATAGGTGCCTTTTAAATACTTGACACACTGCTCCTCTTTACTATGTTTTACTTTCTTTAACATTCTCTCCAATAATCTAAATTTACACACATCATATCCTCCCACTTTTTTACCTGTGTGCCCTTCTTTATAGAGATACCTCTATAATTTCAGGGCCTGAATTAAGACTCTTTCCTAAAAAGAAGTTCTCTAGACTGTAAACTCCATAAGGGCATGGTCAGGTAGGTGTTTGCCTGATATAATTGATCTAGTCCCTGGCATGGTGTCTTCCATGTAATAGGTGCTCGACAAATATTTGTTGAATTAACAAATCATGTATAAATGAATGGATGATACAATGGCCCTCAGATCAATAACAAACTTCTGCATTTCTATAATGGATAAATGTAATGGGATTGTTAAGTGGAAATGGATTTATGGGAAGTTATAAGAAAACTCCTTAAAATCTCTCTTGATCTTAGAACAAACAACAACAACTTCATTTATGCTAATGCTCTGGAACTCCACAGAATAAAAAGAAAAACACAAGATTGTATTTTGTGTGATATCCTACCAGAAACATGTTCTAGAAACTATTAAACTTGTGTGAGTTTTTTCTCTCTTATTTAATGAGCAAAAAGCCAGCTACTTCCAAATACAGAACAGGACAGAAAATCACCTCAGAATTACTTAGGAGGTATCTCTGAAAAGTTACCCTGGAACCTCTGGGAGTGGCCTTGATGGTCCATGGAGAGATATGGTACCAAATATTTTGTATTTGAAGGGTTGTGAGAAAATCTACACTACCCCTGCATGGCAAATACCAAAACCTGACCCTGGGCAGTACCTCTGAAGGCAGCTGTTCACCTTGGGAATTAGCTATAATTGTAGACCAAAAAACCCGATCACTAAGAGTTCAACCCTAGAATCCCAAACATAGAGTACAGATAAGCTTAGTCCGGAAGAAACAGAATCTTCTTCCCTCCAAGAACCTCTCCTTGGATTTTGTTCCCATTACAGGACAGTGGTCAAGTATCCATGAGATTGGGCAGTACTAAACCTCCAATAAGACTCCATGCAGCATCACAAAGCAATGGCAAAGGCTGACTGGGACTTCCCTGGTGGTCCAGTGGTTAAGACTCTGAGCTCCCAATGCAGGGGGCCCAGGTTCGATCCCTGGTCGGGGAACTAGATCCCGCATGCATGCCGCAACTAAGAGTTCCCATGCACAACTAAGGAGCCCGGGAGCCGCAACTAAGGAGCTTGCCTGCCACAACTAAGACCCGGCGCAACCAAATAAAAAAAAAATAATAAATACCAAAAATATTATTTTAAAAAAATTGCAAAAGCTGACTAAATTGATTAGACTTCACTATGACATTCAAAGATGGCTAATAAGTCTCATCCTGTTGGGCGGAGCATGCTGCTGAGCTGTTTTGTTAATTCTGGAGTGAAGCAAAGAGAGTATCCCAAGGAAGATCGTTAGCTAACCACAGCAAGTAGGGCCCCAGAAAGTGATGCTGAAAGTCAAATTGCTGTATCTCAAGTGACTATGCCAGCAAACCTTGGGAGAGGAGTGGCTGAGGCAATAGCTTGCAAATCTGCTGGTAGATTTTGTTTTACTCTTAGGGACCTACAAGTAAAGGATTTGGTAGTTTCCTCAATAAGAT